CCCCAAAACCCCAAAACCCCAAAACCCCAGAGGCTACCAAACACATTGAAAATTTGTGAGATTTAGAAGGAAGAAGAGATAGATGAAAAAGTTGTTAGACTTATGGTATATGGGGGTAGGAGGATTTTATGTGGTGTCTTAGGGAGGATATTATTTGGGGTCTGGAGCAAGGGGGCTGGGTGAGGAGTGTTGGGGTTGGGAAGGAGGACTTTTTGAATAGGGGGTAGACTGTTATTTCTTTGGGCGGCATTAGTCTTCGGAGAGAGGAAGTGTTTATGGCCTTGGTTTTATCGTCAGGTTTAGGATCAGCTTCGTTTTTGTTATTTTCGGCTTGTTTTCTGTAAAAATAGTGGTTAATTTAACTGTTAGGTTTAGAAATTTCGGAAATATTCATAAATGTAAATTTTAACTCAACTATCCAAAAATTGTCTTCAAATGAAGAAAAAAATCTATGCTCATGAATAATCTCTGCTTTCTCTCTTAGTCTCTAATTATCATTTTGATAGATTCACTCATATCTTAATTTTTTCAAATTCAAAATGATAAAACCTCATCGTTAAAAATTTTGGATCCATTAAAAGTTTAAAAAATGCAAATCTAAACTTAGCAAAGGAAAATATTAAAATGAATAGTAGCAGGGGATTAACTTACCTCACTCCTAATGTGATCTGATTCTTCTTACTATCATTTATGCTCTTGGTATTCTTCCTCTCCAAGATCGTTTTAGAAGAAGGTGTTATTTTGTTCTTCTTCTTCAGACATCAAGACAATGTAATCTGATAAATCAGATTTATGATACTAATTACAAACACTAGCATTGACGACCCAATAATTGAGTTGTCCAACAGTTCTTCAATAATCGTCATTTCAGACTTTTGGTAAAAGATTATCAGCAGGATTATGACTAAGTAGGATACTTCATTCACGACCTCAATAATATTGGGATACTTCTCGTCATGGTGTCTCACCATTATTGTAAAAATTAAGATTAAAATTTGTAAAATTGCAAAAACTGATAGTCTGAGCATTAAATTATTTGGCCTAAGCCCAACAATTACTCCAACTAGTAAGAATCTTCTCAAAAGAAATGCAAAATTGTAGAGTTGAGCCAATCTATTTTTCTTAAATCCTTTAAAGAGCTCCTTGACATATCTGTTTTCAAAAGGATTTTTCACCGAGAAATACAAAATAGGAATCAGACACATGAGCAAAATCAGAAGAACTACTATTAAAGCGCTTATACTGTATGAGATCAGATTAGGTGATGCATCAGAGACTCTAGATACCTCGCTGACTGAAGTCAGGCTAATAAACAGGAAGCCTTCAATGAAATATCTCAAGTAAAACTGGAAGTAGAAGGCATCACAAAAGTAGCTGTAAATTTTCATAAGGCAAGGACTATTTCTTTTCTTACAGATAATTCTTAATGGGAAATGCATAAGAAGAACCAGAATAGTGATTCCGAATGGATAAGATAGGAAATCAAATCAGTTGATGAGGGCACTCCCTGATTCATACTCATTGTCTTTGAACTCTTGATATGGGTTTTCATAATCAACATACTCAATTAGTGGTTCAAATATTGACAAACTCTTTATTTCCAGAAGGTTGATATTAAAAATACTTTCGTCAAGTGCGTCCAAAGTTTGAGCAAATTTTAACGAAAGTTCAGCTTTTAAAAATGGAAGAATCAAGTATAGTTGGAATTGGTTGAATAAAACCCACATGTTCTTCAATGAAGAGCCAGATAGTACTCCTCCTGCTACTGAAGCTAGCATTGCACCTGTGATTCCAGAAATAGTTATAATAACGACTGTAGACTCAAAGTCTCTTCAATTTCACCGCATTTTTTAGACTTTGTTAGCTTATATCCATCCTTACAAACAATGCATTCAGAAGAATTGCAAGCAATTCAGTTCTCAGTTTCACAGGTTGAAGAAGACCCAGGAGATGGAGTTGGATCTGGAGTAGGTTCTGGAGTAGGGTCTGGAGTAGGGTCTGGAGTTGGATCTGGAGTTACAGGAACTGCTTCCACATTGATCTGAACATTTCTTAAGTAAACCTCTCCATTAATGGTGCTCTTTCCAGTGAAATAATAACTTTGGCCTTCTGCAGATGTTGGGACCGTGTAATCAAAAGACAAAGAATCAGCCCCGACAGTTACCCAAGTAGGCACTGGTTCACCATTAGAGTGGGTGTCAACTACAGAACTAATTGGAGTTGTCCCACTGATCGAGCAAGGATAGAAATTTGGAATGTTTCCGGTTGTTTCTACAGTCGTATCTAGAACATAATCTGTTCCAACATAGATTACATCTAACTCTACACTTAGGTCTCCTGTCGTTGTAGGAGGAATCAATACTATTGAAGTTACTATTGATGATCCTTTTGTTTCAGATGAAGGGCCTGAAGTAACTAGAGATGTAGCGTCATTGGAGTAAGAGTAGCCGGATGATGATGTGAAGGAGTTACTTGTTGATGAAAATGATACTGCAGTGTTTTTACCGTAAATTCCATTAGCAGCTAATCTTGATATAGCGAGAACTGAGGATGAAGAGGGAACACCGGATCCGACCAGAGTGTGGCCTCCTGCTTCAAGTATCCATCCTGGACTAATTGTAGTGCTTAAATAAGCATTTGAAAATGAATTGGTGAAGAGATTATATTCAAGTTTGTAAGCTCCACCATCATATTTGAGAAGCACGAATACCTTACTAAACGAAGTTGAATAGGCAATACTACTAATTTCCAGATTGGTCTGAGTGAAGTCTGGAACAAAAGAACCCTCAAGAGTTCCATCGGTAAGGCTGCTTACATAAATGATTGGTTTAGTATCCAAAAAGTAGCTGATGACTTTGTTATCAGATTCTAAAATCAATGCATCATTAGCTCCGCTGAGCACTCATGCAATCGGGCATCCGAGCTTCTTCGCCCACTGTTGAGTGCCTGTACCATACTCAGCCGAGAGTAAACTGAAGGCTTGCGTTGGGCTAGTAACTGAGCCACTAATCATCAGCAGTTCTTGGCTTGAAATAACATAAGAGTGAATGGAGTAAACTGAGTTCATACTGATAGGGATGGAAGTAATGGTTGTAGTTCCAAAGTCTGCATACTCAATTTTAAACACATGAGGAGTTGATGAAATTGTGCCTGAAACATAAAAGCTGGAGTAATCACTAGTAAAAGCCAAAGAGTCTCAGTTAGATGCCCCAACAATCCTGATGTCCTCAATGACCGAACTTGTTGTAGTGTCTACTTTAGCCAAAGGGCAATTTAAAGAAGATTTCATGGTAAAAACTAATGTTGTTGCAGAAGAATGTAGTGCAATCGCATTCTTAGCAATATTAGAAGCCTCAAAACTTAGCATCCAGATTGGGGAGAAGTTTGAATCAAATTTGAATACCCGCGCTTTAGGAGCTAATAAGAGCTCACCATTTGCTGTTAGGTATACTCATGAGTTGTCTGGACAAGAAATTCCATTAGTAATCTCAACGTTCACAAAAAGCGAGTAGCTGAAGGAGTAACTTTTGATCTTCATGGAAGTATCTGTCCCTGCAGGGCACTGGGCCGACAGAATAGATCGGAGTAGGATTAAGAATCTGTAGGCGAGGTTAGAAACAATGGGAGTGGTAAAGAGTCAGTTTTTGAAACAAATTGGTGAAAGTTATAAGTAAAAAGCTTGAAGAAGAGTTAGAAAGAGAAGATGGTTATGGAGATTACAATTTGGAGCAAGAATTTGGCAAAATTTCCTACGGTAGATCTTTTGTCAATATATTAAATCCAACCCAAATCTTCATACAAAATACACCTTCCTATCTCCCAACCCCTATGGCCTCATTTCACAACTCCCAAGCTCTCTTCACTAAAATTCGAAAAACCTGCTACTAAATATTCCTAAACTCATACAAAGCCTACTCTCAAAGGAATCTAGGCATGGGAACATATATCCAAAGAGAGGGTGTCACAAACTGTTGAGTGTGGTGAAGCAGGGAGAATTTGGGTTAGGAGCGTGAAGAGGTATTATTAACAAAATCAGATTTCTCTTCTAACACTGGTTGTCAATAAGTGATTACTTAAAGTTTTAATCAAATCTAGAGTGCTTCAAGTATTCTGAAGTTTTAACTTTTTATTAACTCTGTAATGAAAATAACGATATTATAAGAATTTCACCATTTTATCTATTTCCTTCACTTTCCCCAAGAATCTATTAAAACTTTCCCATAAACTATCAGCAGGCAAAATGAAGCTTCAAAATAACGACCAGTCACAAATGAGGACTTATTTATAATCACAGATGTAAATACCCTTAAAAATCTTAAATTCATCGGACTCCAGAGCATAAATATGCTCTTTTAAAGCCATCTCCTAAACTAAAAGCTGAAATAAACTCCCCAATGCATAATCCATCCATGCTCTCAAGTCCTATACACCTAACCTTCTAAAGATTCTAATATACATCAGTTGACAATTTGTTAAAACTCACCATATTATGATCATTGTTAACGAAATATTTAATATTAAGCATCCTTCTACTCGGTATTTATCATTTGGGGTTTTGGGGTTTTGGGGTTTTGGGGTTTTGGGG